GTCATCCAGTGGTTGGACAACAATCAGTTGGCAGACAAAGAAGAGTACGAGCACAAACTAAAGGAGATCCAAAAGAGCTGCTCGGCGCTAATGATGAARATACACGGAGCGGGACAAGCCGGCGGCGGCAACGCGCCTCATCCCGGCTCCAATGGTTTCCCTGGATCCCGTCCCGGAGGACCTACCATCGAAGAAGTCGACTAATTCTTTTAAAAATGTGATTCTATGTTATTTGTTTTGTAAATATTTTGTATATACTGCTGTGTAAAACATTCCATTCTGTGATTTTTTTAATGTATATAAGATGTATATAGATATAGAGTATCAAGTTATGACTGATTTTTCTATTGTATTATTATTTAATTAAGTTTTAGCAAAATAAATATTATTAGCTGCCGTACAATTCTCAGTTTTTATTTTTCCCGAACAATAACTACCAAYTGTTGATTATTTACGTTTCAGTAAAAGCTTTCTGTATAATGAGTTTCAAACGTTCTACTCATTGTATGGAGGTACCACATATGGTATATTGTAATTAAAATATAAGWAGGTAACATAATTTAGTTARAAATCTATTACTTTTTTCTTCATATACGATTAATAAAATTATACGTACCTTTTTTAAAGCTAACAAATAAGAATAATTTATTCGATGAATGTCTCTATATAAAAGAAAATTGGATTCTTTTATTCAAGAAATTTGGTGAGAACCAATAGTATCGACAATTATAATACACTTAATATGAATATWTAATATCTACTAAATTAGAAAAACATTTTTTTTTCTAAATTTAAATTCTGAAACCAGCCTGGTTGAATAAATTAACAGATTGAGAATTGCAGGAAAGGATATATTGAGGATTGGCKGGAATATTTAAAGAATTAATTAATGATAAATTCAGGTAAAATAATTTAGGTTATATGTTAAAGTTAATTACCGTAGCTATATTTATATAGTACTTTAAGTCTATAAAATCCAAAAAAAATATTTTTATTATTCATATGTATTTGTTTAATAAGGAGGCATTTTATGATGCTCCATACAACTATACTAAATATTATTAAAATAATAAAATTAATTATTAGAACGAATATATAGGTGTCCGAACTAGGCCTTTGTGCCTATTCCCTGACATAGCGCCATACGAAAAAAAAATTATTAGAATTTAATGAATCGGTAATAATAACTAATTGGTTACACAATATATAATATAAAACATTATTCAATTAATAATAAGAATAAAATATTTCATAGCTTAAATAGCTTGTTCATTTATTTAATTAGGTAGGTACTTCAGGTACTTGAATAGTAAATACCAAGAGTCCGTCAAGTATAGGCTTCAACGGATTTGCACGATTACATACTGCATCATCAACGGGCCAAGTGATCGCTTTAATTCCATCATAAATGAATAAATATATAATAATTTATTAGTAATAAACTAATAACTAATAAGAAATAATATTAATAATGATTAGGTAGATACTAAAGGCAATGAGTAATGAGTACAGGACTGGGATTTTGATGCGAAGGCATATTTTTTAAGTGCATTTTAATATGTCAAATTAATATTTATGTCACCAATAAAGATAAAATCGTTTTGACCGATTTAATAATTTACAGGGTTAAGAAAATAATATTACGTCAAAATTTAAAAGTGATGGGTAAAMAATTTTAAAAGAGTTTAAATCAAACACAAACCAACAGAAAAATTTTAGTTTCTGAAAGAAGTGATGAAT